TGTAGGATGGGAGCCTTGAAGTTTTGCTTGCCAAGCTTTGTCCTTGTTGCTTTTTTTTTTTTTCTGAGATGGAGCCTGATACCAGCTCACTGCAACCTCCACTTCCCGGGTTCAAGCAGTTCGCCTTCCTCAGCCTCCTGAGGTGCCTGGATTATAGGCGCCTACCACCACGCCCAGCTAATTTTTTGTATTTTTAGTAGAGTCCGGGTTTTACCATGTTGGCCAGGCTGGTTTCGAACTCCTGACCTCGTGATTTGTCCACCTCAGCCTCCCTAAGTGCTGAGATTATAGACATGAGTCACCACGCCCTGCCCCCCCCCCTTTTTTTTTTTTTTTTGAGACATAGTCTCGCTCTGTCACCCACGATGGACTGCGGTGGTGTGATCTTGGCGCACTGCAACCTCTGCCTCCCTGGTTCAAGCAGTTCTTCTGGCTCAGCCCCCTAAGTAGCTAGGATTACAGGTACCCCCCGCCACACCCAGCTAATTTTTGTATTTTTGTAGAGACGGGGTTTTCACCATGTCGGCCAGGCTGGTCTCGACCTCCTTACCTCAGATGATCCACCCACCTTGGCCAGTGTGCTGGGATTACAGGCCTGAGCCACTGCGCCCGGCCTGTTCTGGATGCTTCTAATGTAGCCAGTACACATGCCGGCTTTTAGAAGCACAGCTTTATGGGAATCTGAGTAGTTTCTCTTTTGTTTTGAGACGGTATGATTCTATCGCCCAGGCAATCACGGCGCACTGCAGCCTCAACCTTCGAGGCTCAAGTGAGCCTCCCTCCTTAGCTTCCTGAGTGGCTGGGGCTACAGGTGTGTGCTACCACGCCCAGCTAATTTTTGTTGTTGTTTTTTTTTTGAGATGGAATCTTACTTTGTTACCCAGGCTGGAGTACGGTGGTACCATCTTGGCTTACTGCAACCTCCGCCTCCCGGCTTCGAGCGAGTCTCCTGCCTCAGCCTCCTGAGTAGCTGAGACTACAGACACATAACCCCCTGCCTGGCTAATATTTTGTATTTTTAGTAGAGACGGGGCTTCACCATGTTAGCCAAGAAGGTCTCGATCTCGTGATCACTTGCCTTGGCCTCCCAAAGTGCTAGGATTACTTTGTGAGGCACCACACCTGGCTAATTTTTGTGTTTTTAGGAAAGATAGTAGAGACGGGGTTTCACCGTCTTGGCCAGGCTGAGTCTTGAACTCCTGACCTTGCGATCCACCCACCTCAGCTTTACAAAGTGCTGGGATTACAGGCATGAGCCGCCTCGCCTCCCCTTTTTTTTTTTTTTTTTTTTTTTTTTTTTTTTTTTTAAGCTGGAGTTTTGCTCTTGTTGCCGTCTGGAGTGCAAGGGCGCGATCTCGGCTCACCGCAACCTCCGCCTCTTGAGTTCAAGCAGTTGTCCTGCCTCAGCCTCCCGAGTAGCTGGGATTACAAGCATGTGCCACCACCCCCGGCTAGTTTTTGTATTTTTAGTAGAGATGGGATTTCTCCATGTTGGTCAGGCTGGTCTCGAACTCCCTACCTCAGGTGATCTGCCCGCCTCGACTTCCCAAAGTGCTGGGATTACAGGCGTGAGGAACCGTGCCTGGCCAAGGCTCATTCTTGTGTCTTTCTTTTCCCTTTTTTTTCTTCAAATTCCTCTTTATCATTTCTCTGTACAGGCTCATTCTTTCAGCAGCCTTAGTGCAACTAGTAATGCCACCAAGAGTGGACCAGAAGGCCTGGGTCCCATCCCCTCGAGAAGCCGGTAGCTGAAAAATGGTAGTCTGTCCTGGTTCCAGGGGCATTGCCTTTTGGTCCTCACAGTAATCCTGAGAGTGGCCCAGGCGGGAGGTATTTGTTCCATTGACTGAGCAGAATGAGACTCAAGGGTTTGCTCAGATGGGCCGATCATGGTGGCTCATGCCTATAACCTCAGCACTGCGGGAGGCCAAGCGGGGACGGATCACTTCAGGTCAGGTGTTCGAGACCAGCCTGGTCAACGTGGCGAAACCCTGTCTCTACCAAAACTACAAAAGCTAGCTGGTCTCACGCCTATAATCTTAGCACTTTGGAAAGCCAAGGAGGGTGGATCACCCAAGGTAGGAGTTCGAGACCAGCCTGGCCAACATAGTAAAACCTGGTCTCTACAAAACAAAAATTAGCCAGGTGTGGTGGTGGGCACCTGTAATCCCAGCTACTCAGGAGACTGAGACAGGAGAATCGCTTGAACCTGGGAGACAGACGTTGCAGTGAGCTGAGATTGCGCCGTTGTACCCCAGCCTGGGCAACAAGAGCAAAACTCCATCCAAAAAAAAAAAAAAAAAAAGAAGTAAAGAAGTGGGAGCTGAGGCCAAGAGCCAGCTATATGGGCATGTGGGCCTGGGAGCCAGTCCTGGCTCTGCCCCGTGCTCACTGGGAATCTTGACCATTGAGCTGTCCCCCTCAGATGTCCCTCCTTTCTGAGCCTGTTTCCTTTTCTTCTTCTTTTTTTTTTTTTTTTTTTTTTGACAGAGAGTCTCACTCTGTTGCCCACATTGGAGTGCAATGGCGTGA